GCTCTATTACCAGTCAAGTAGCACTGACAGCCTGTGGGCGGCTCACTGCTACCCGACTACCATTAGAGCGTTCGTCTGAGCGTCGGTCGAGTTATTTGATCGGGACCCTCATATTGTCATTTGAGTTACTATGGAAACAGCTTTCAGGAAATAAAAAAATTAAATTTTTGTTCCTTATATTTTAGAAATTATTAAAATATATAAAATAACTTTAATATAACTATAACAAATAATAACTAAGCAAACATTTTATTTTTAATTTTGAAAAACAAGTAAACATGTATAAATATGTACGTATGAAACTAAAATTTTGTTGTTTTAATTATGTAATTAATTTTTCATACATTTTTTCATGCATCATTTGGGTCCTAAAAATATACAGGATGGTCAAAAAAATAAAATTTTAATTTTTGACCATTTTAGAAATTAATTTCTTAAAAAAATTAATATTTTAAATATCTATCTTCTTTTTCAATTTTGACTATATTTCATCGCCAATTTTTTTCCACACTTTTTTAATGATTCTTTAAAATCTCTCGCATGGATTTTCAAAAATATTAATTTTTTCAAGAAAAGAAAGAAAAATATCAGTTAAAACATCATTGCACTCTTCTATTAAATATGTATCTTCTTTCACAATTTTAAGTATTTTTCATCGTCAAATTTTTTCCACACTTTTTTAATGATTCTTTAAAATCTCTCGCATGGATTTTCAAAAATATTAATTTTTTCAAAAAATAAAATTTCTAAAATGGTCAAAAATTAAAATTTTCTTTTTTTGACCACCTTATATGTTTTTAGCACCCAAATGATGCAAGAAAAAAAATATAACCTCGTTTAATAATTTAAATTTAAGTAGGTCAAAATAAAGGTTGTGACTCCCCTTAATAATTAATAAGCTTAAATTATGAATAAATAAAAAATTTATTTACTAATTCTTCCATTTCTAAATTAAATTCTTACTCAAATTAAATTTATTAATTAACGTTCTAATTAATTAACTGTAATATACATACAATAAAAAAAAAATTTTTAAATATCTAATTTTTGTATACTATTAACGGATATTTACATTTTTCAACTAATTCATACATGTAATTAATGATTAAACGCAAACCTGAAAAATAAATAAATCTAACGCACGGGGGGAATCGAACCTACGGACTATGAGCCTAACGCTTTACCAACTACGCCACGCACGCTACGTGAAAACTAATGTTCACTTCTTGATGCTATTTAAACTTGCAAAATACCTACGTGAATTTTCAAAAAAAGGGAAAAAAATTTTTTTATTAAAAACGCGTTTTTCTTTGCTCTGAATCTTTGTAAACATTAATTTTTTGTGATAAAAAATTTTTCTTTTGACTTAGAAAATTTTTTGAGTAAGCCCTGGACCATATAATAATAATTTCTAAATATGTATACTTTAAGAAAATGCACGAAAAAAAATTCGATTTTTTGAAAGTTACAACTGGTGTTCTCCCCTTAAGTATAAAAAACTCAAATATATGATATATTTAATTTACAGTTAATAAAGAGTTGATAATAAAGCTCTGAAATTTAAAAGATAGATAAGGAAAAGTAAATCCCAAGCTGGCGTATATTTTTAACTCCGCGTCAGATCTCTGACTGTGATATGATAGTAGCATTTCATATCTGAACCAGTACTGACTGCCGGTGTAAGATCAATACTGGACAATGTTACCAGCCAGTATTGGCTTCGTACTGACTTATTAGTGGAGTCAGTACTGGGTCAGTACTATGCCGATTTCAGATTTTTATTTGGGCAATATCAGTGGTGTGCATCATGTATTTCTTTAGGATTTTTTTTCTTTTATCTTCTACACAAAGAAAATTGTAAATATGCAACATTTTACTTTAATAAAATGATAGAATTAACATGTCAAAAACTATACGAGAGGGTTTTTTAAGGTCGTAATGCTATTTAGATTAACTTAATTTTTTCGTCAAAAAAAACCTATAAGCATTTAAAGTTAAAATTACCAATAACGGTTTTAAAAAAATTAATAAGTATCACTTCGTTTTCAGCGATTTCAACTTAGGCTACTAGTATGTCCTTAATAACAGGAAAATCAAAAAATTCAAAAGTGGTTGTACATAATAATTATTCATACTACTTGTGTACGTCAAATAGTAATACCGCATACTGTGCATTTCGATACAAAAAATGCACTGCAAAAGTTAATCTCATTCAAGGAGAATGGGTTGAGTATGTGGGTAATAAGCATAATCACGAACAACCAACTCAGAATTATATAGATCAGAAGAATACAGAAAATGAGATATTAATGTTGTGCAGAACTACAACAGATAGTTATCAATCAATTGTCTCTGACGTTTGCAAACGGTATTGAATTCTTATTTACACTCATTTTAGTCTCTTGCAACATAATTTTCAATAGTTTTTGCTTCTATATGATTAACCCTTTCACACCCCAGCCAAACTGAGAAATAAAAAAAAGAAATCTAAAGTGGTTCTTACAGTTCTTGGGGCCGCTGATTAAGAATTCGGTGTTTGTTTTCAAAAATTCAAAATGGCGGATCCAATATGGCGGACAAAAAAAATTGAAATATCGTTTAGATTCGTCTGAAACTTGTTACTCGGAGGGTTTTTGGGGTCGCTGATTAAGAATTGGGTGTTAGTTTTCAAAAATTCAAAATGGCGGATCCAATATGGCGAACAAAAATTGAAATATTGTTTAGATTCGCCTGAAACTTGTTACTCGGGGGTTTTCGGGGTAGCTGATTACGAATTTGGTGTTAGTTTTCAAATATTTTGCTTTCTTGTGAAAGCAATATATGTACGTATATATATAGTTCTGACACTCAGCTAGGCCCAAAGTCATTTAAAAAAAAGAAGAATATATACTATATATGATGTTGACTATTAGTTAGTAAATTAATTTATTAGTTGTGGTTACCATTTTTTTTCGTTGGCATAACTATTTTATTAGTTGGTTTAACTAATTAGTTTGTTGGAATAACTATTAATTAGTCACCTTACTAACAAAACGGTTAAGCTGATTAAATAAGTGATAACAGTAACTAATATAAATTATCAAAAATACTCTGATTTGTTTAATAATTTTGACGAAATTTCAAATCATTGAAACCCTTGTCCGGAAACAAGAGATATTTTCTGTTTCAAATTATTCGTAATCAGCGACCCCAAAAACCCCCGGATAACAAATTTCAGGCGAATCCAAGATGTTTTAAAAATTCCCATTTTTTATTGATTATTTATAAATTTTTTTAAACAATAGGAAATTTTATGCACAATATGATCCACATATTTTTTAAGCTCTGTCCTTCCTCAAGAAACGCACTAAAGTTGAATGAAAAATATTAATTTGGTTTAAAGATATTGAGATTTTTGTATGTGGGACGTATATGTCCCAGGGGCGTAAAGGGGTTAAGCATAATAATTATGAATAATAATTTACTTGTTTTCACATTACATACAATATAATATTTTATATGCTTTTTTGACCATTCATACCCCAGTCATTATTGTTTGCTAACGTGCTATCACAAGTAATAACGCTTATCCTCTCTAATTTAATATTACACATTAATATTAATTTTCTCTTAAGATGATTATGACAAGAAGTTTTCTTTTCCTCATGATCAACTATTCAGTCATATCAATTATTTTCAACAATCTATTCTTCTTAAATGGTGTAAAACTTTTACAGCGAGACTTGGTTGTCTATCCGTTTCAAAGACTTAAGGCTTATAATCATAAAAATTAATATGAGCATAATACTTAATTTTTCAAAAGGTATTATAAGTATTGGTGATAATTAATTAAAAGACTCGTGTCTTAAGAGACACATCTCCCTAATATGTAGGCACTTCGCACCTGCTTCTCGTACTGATTTTTTTAATTAAAAGAATATTTTTTTCAAGAACATGAATAATATAGTTACTTTTTCATTCAACCTCCACTTGTACAAATGAATTCCTCTTTTGAACGGTTGATTTAGATTAACTTATAATTCTTAAGCTTCTTTGATCAAATTTTGCTCAACTTCCGAGACTATCCAAGTATAATTATTTCTTACATTCAATGTCATCCACTGACAGGTGAACTATCTGTATTGATATTTCAATGACGTATAATTCTATCTATCTATCTACCACTTTAGTTGATACTTTTATGTCTAGTCTTCTTGCTAAAAATGTAAATGTTTTAAATACTTTTTTTTAATAGAATAAAATTTCAGCCAAAAATATCATGCAAAGTTAGAATAAATTTATTATATTTATTAGGTTATTAAAAAATTATTAGGTTACTAAAAAAATTTTTCATTGCAAATTTTTTTTTTAAATTCAATTCATCAATCATTTTAATCCTTATATTATATATATGTTTAAATCAAAAACTTTAATCCGCCTGCACATACCTGTCCATCCGTAACTTACTATAATTGTTATTTTTACCTATTACAAGTAAAAAATTAATTCAATCAAACTATTCTTTACCATTTTAAATCCTTTCATTAAAAAAATGTTTGGTGTTCCATTCTAATCTGATGTTATTAATGCCTTGTTAATTCAGAAGGTAAAGTTTATTATTAATTACCATCCAAAAATAATAAAAATTCTTCAAGTTTAAGCAAATTGTTTTTAAATCGAAAACCGCAGAAATAAAAATATAATTTTTGTTTAAGATTCTAAGTCATTAACAACATTGCTAAAATTTAGTAAGAATTTTAAATAACTTTTTACTTTAACGAAAATATTGCTTTAAAATTAGAGCAACTTTTTAGTGCAATTTTTCCACGATGATATATTACAACAATATTAAAAAAATATGAGTCGAATTAAAAACGAAGAGTCGGATAGAGGCGGATAAAATTTGATTTCAACAAATAGAAAGCATTCTAACAAAAATAGAAATAATAGTTATTAATAAAAACAAATTGCAAAATAGGCGCAAAGTTAAATTGAAATTTGAAGGCCTTCGGCCTCGAATGATGGCTGCAAGGAACGAGCAGCAGCAGTCAAAAATGACCAATGCTTCACAATTCTTTGAAGCACTGAAGGAATGTCAATCATTTAATAAAATGCTTGCGCCAGGAGTCACAATTCTTAAATTAAGGAAATTGCCGCCAACTGTCAGAATAGTATACATCGATAAATCGTTTAAGGTTTTTAAATGTCATTTTTAAAAAAAGAAAGATTCTTTTTTTGGGTCGATACTATATGAGGAATTTAAACATATATTTTTAAGCTTGTATCGATACAAAAAACAATCTTCCTTATGTAATATTTCTTATTAATAACATTACATTTTATAACTTCAATTTACTGCATTTTTAACAGATGTCATTTGAAAAATTCTCTCTTGATTTCATCACTTTTTCAGTGGAAGAGAAAAAAAAAGTATGTTTTTATAAAAAATATTTATTTGCTTTAAATATCTAAAATCTAACCCGTCAATATGTTAATTTTTATTGCAAATTTTTGATGATTAAATTTATATCTCAATTATTTAACTGTTTCTATTCTTTAAAATTCACAGGGTTTTATAGCGTTCTGCGTAGTAGCAATAAAAATTACAGATATTATCCTGAAAAATCTTTTCGTCGAAATAGGATCACATTTTACAACGAGGAATGTACAATACGTAGTGGGACCATTCGATACTAAAATAGAGAAATGCTGTCGGGAAGTCTTTTTAGCCGCAGAATACTATTCCAATTGGTATCAGTTTAAACAGGTATGTGAAATTGTAAATTTGAATGTAGGGGAGAGTGGGGCAAAACCGGGTATGCCTAGTTTCCCATGATAGGTATTTCCATTTGTGTTACCTATTACATATATCTTTTATATTACAAGTACAACCAATATCATTTTAATTATATTATATTATATTATATATATATATATATATATATATATATATATATATATATATATATATATACAATTATATATATTTGGTTTCAAATGTATGACCTTTCGGCCTTTTACATTTTCCATACATAAAATACATTATTATTTTAATTATATAACCAATGTATAGAAATTTATTTATAATATTTTATGCGACTTTTAAATTTTAGGTCAAAAGAAAATCCATTTTTATCGAATGTAAATCACTTATAAAACTTTTTGTGTCGATATATTTGTTTCGGCAAGGATAACATTTTCTTTAGCATTTACTTACGAGTAATTTTTCTTAAAAGTAATTGTTAAATTATTAACAATAAGCTGAGAATTTTACATTTTGTTAAAAAATGCAGTGCGGGGAAAAATCGGGTACCAATCGACATGTATATTTCGAGATCGATGTTTTAACTTTCGATATATTAATTTTTTACCATATCAATGAAAAAACGATAAAAAATTAATAAAAATATTAAGAATTTCGTTTAAACAATTTAATAGCTGTTATTCATTATTAATATAGGGCCAGTTGGGGTAAATGGGAACAAAATCGCTATTCTTCACAAATTACGTAAGTTTCTTCCTTTAAAAGTTAATATTTGCGGGTTTATTTTTTTTTAACTTGTTATTTACGTTACCAGGATTAATTTTATGCAGTAAAAAGCTGCAGCTAGATAAGCTTTAAACGCATGAAACTGACTGTCCCCATTTACCCCAAGATTTAGAAAATTTCATAAAATTTGGGGTAAATGGGGACAGCATAGTTTCTAAGAAAGTTTTAAGAAAAAAGTTTCCTTAAGTATATTACTGTATTAAGGGATGAAAAAACTTGAAAAAAAAATTTGTAGTAGATATATAATAGTTGAACTAATGCGAGACAAAATACTGAAATAAAAAAAAATTTCAATTGGTTCAACTATTATATATCTACTACAAATTTTTTTTCAAGTTTTTTTATTTCAAGATAAAAGCTTGTCAATACTCAAAACCTCTTGCAGGTGATCTGAGGTTAAAATATTGACGTTGAACTTAATTTTAAAACTGTAAATTAAGCTCCAAAACCTCTTGTCCCCATTTACCCCAACTGACCCTAATATATTTTGATTAAAAATGAATAAAATGTTAAATAATATTTCATGATTTATATATTTTTTTAATAGTACTCGGTTTTGACCCACCATCAAGGAAAAACCGAGTACTTTGCATTTTTTTTAATGATCAAGGAAGAATTTTCAACAAGACTTGAACTAATTTGTTTGATAGATTCTTTGTAAACCGAGAATTACAAAAAGGTACCCGGTTTTGCCCCACTAACACCTACTCTAAAAGAAAACTTTTTTTTACAATGTTTTTTAAAACAAAAATATTCTAATAAAATTATTTAAGAATATGTGACTTGGACAGTTAAAAGGGACCTTACGTCCGAAATCAAGTTTTCGAGAAAAACGACTTCAAAGTTAACAAGTCGAAAATATGGCACCAAAAAATGAAATCATATGGATTCGCTTCGAACATATTGTGAGTTTAACAAATTTAAATGAAACTTGTTACTCGAGGGTTTCCGGGGTCCCTGATTACGAATCTGAAATCCGTTTTTGAAAATTCAAAATGGCTGACAAAATTCGTAATAAGCGATCCCATAAACTCCCGAGTAAAGAGTTTCAAAATAATTTGATCAATTTTTATTCACCTATTTTCTACTTAAATTTTTTACGATTTTTGAAACCAGTTGTGTCTATCTTTAAAGCGTATTTTTTAAAAGACTAATGAAGCTGGATTTTTTCGGACATAAGGTCCCTTTTAATTGTCCAGGTAACATATATTGTTTTTTGCGATAAAATTGACGACACTTTTTTATTTTTGCTACAGATCTGATTAAATCAATCGAGTAGCAATAATTCTACTGTATTAATTGAATCAATATGGGTAACAGTAGACTCCCGCTCTAAGCCGCCTTCACTCTAACATGAATTCAGTTTAAGGGTACGATCCTATGTGAGTAGAAAACGTCAACCAAAAACAGAAAACCATGAAAGTGAGAGAGAAGTTGTCTCTCTTACACTCATAGTTTTCTGCTTTCGGTCGACGTTTACTACTCGCATGAGACTCAAACCTGGGTTAGATCATTCATTTTAAGCCGGGTGAATATTTTCGCGCGCATGCCAATGTAGGCCCGTAAAATTCAAGGACGAGTAAAGAAGATATTTTAGACATAGGAATTTTTTGACCATTTTACTTTAAATATTGATTCAGATATGTAATTCTAATTATATCTACAAATATTAAAATTTCATAAAAATTAAATTCTTAATCGTCGTAAGTTTAATATAATTTCACTGAGGGGATCATTTATAAAAGTGTACGTTTCTAATAGGAGACCCGGCTTAAAGTGAATTTCTGAAACATGACTATCCGGCTTAGAGCGAAAGTCTACTGTACGTAACAGTTCTCGTTAAAAAAACCTAGGTTTTGATTTAAAATTTTAATAATAATAATCAAACAAACTTGTGAAGTGGTTTACCCTTTACCCTACTCTCCAAATCTAAATCAGTGAAAGGAAGTTTTACTGGTTGTACAGTAAATTTTATAATTATTTAAAACTTTTAACGTTTATAATTTATTTCTTTTTTTATAATGCGAAAGTTGGAGATTTTCTTTTATTTTTAATCGTCAAATTTAAAAAAATATAGAAAAAATAGTGCAATGAATGCAACATTTTATTGAATTAATCAGAGCCTATTCACTTATTCCGAGTGGTATACTTATAGCTCGATCATTCCACAACCCTGCAAAGCGAATTAGTGAGAATCCATTGATTAAGATTGAAAGAGATAGTGGTTAAAACTTTTTTTAATCTTCCATCTAAAATTACTTTTATTATTATAATAATAAATATAAAATTTAAAAAACTGTCATCTCTAATATAATGTTTTATCATTTAAAAACTATCGACTATAATTATAATTTAAATTTAATAATATAATTTCAGCTCATAACGGAAATTTGGTTCAGGAACAATTTAAACCAGGATCGCCAAGGAGTGTTAAACGCAGCGTTTATCATACCATTATTTCCGGAAAACAAACTTTTAGATTCTCTCCGAGAATTCAAGGAATTTTCTAAATCTCAGGGAGAAGAATATGCAAATTTCTTAGCTGAGGTGGTGGAATTATTAACTGAGATTGGTTCAAAAGTTTCTGTAGTTGAACAGATTTTAAAGGAGGACTCCACCTTTAATAATGTTTTTAATATTTGCGAAAAGCAATTTGATGGCATTATTAAAAGTAAATCTCTGGCAGATCTAATTGGTAACAATCCTCTTCTTCATTTCATTTATAATTTATCAATTGTTAAATATCTTAAGTGTTTAACTTATACATATTGACAAACTTGTAGTATTAAACAACCATTGCAGAAACATTTTGAATAATTATTAAATTCTGTTTTTTCAAATTAAAATCTAGTTAAGGGGACTTTCTGGTGTAGAATTGACAAAAAAGACACGTTTCAAAACTTTTATTGTAAGAAAAGTATTAAAGAAATTGCAAAAATTCTTTTTGGACATTATTGCACATTACATAGAGAAAACTTAAAAAAAATGTTTGAATGTATTTAGTTGAATTTCATAGCTGTAGGTGGCGTCTTCGAAGAGGTACCTTTTTTGGTGCACTTGATTTCGAACAAGTAATAATATATAAATTCAAAATTCAAACGGGAAGCTCTTCATAAGGATTTATTCTACAAACAATAAACCTAAAAAAAGCTATTTTTTATGTACTTTTTTCTCAAAAATTTGAAAAAACTCCGTTTTTTTGGAGCAAATTACCCCCGTATAAGAAAAAAAGGGTAGAAATATAAAATATTAAAGGTTTATCGAATCGAATGATCTTTGGTTTTTTAAAATCGGTTCGGTAGATTTCGAGAAAAGCCGTGCACCAGGTTGAAAAATGTGTTTTCGAGAAAAGCGCGTTTAAAATTTTTATAACATAATTCATTTAGCCAGTACTATCAAACAATTTGTTAATACAACTTTTGTTTTTTTACTTATTTTTTAAAAAACGTTTTGGGACAGTAATTTTATGATATTAAGGAATATTTTCAAGCAAAAAAAAATCGATTTTTTTAGTATTCTAAATCAGAAAGTCCCCTTAAATCAATGAAATATTTCTGAAAGCGTAATTCAGTTGTATATTGAAAGTGTTATTTTTGTTTACCAGTGCTAATAAAATGGGAAAATCATGTATTTTTCATATATAATGTTTGTAGAGAATTTTGAAGAATTGGCTGCTAAAAGGCAAATGATGAAATTAAAGTCGGAAGTATCCTCGGAAATTAGTGATACAATTCACAAATTAAAACACTCACCAAAGAAGTAAGTTTTTTAATTCTAAAAATAATTAGAACTAGAAAAATAGATTTAAAAATTACAGAAAATTTATATCCGTGGTTTCTTGTGTTCATATATCGGCTCAAATTATTTAAACGGACTATATTTTTTATTTTAAAAATTATAATATTACGAAAACTGTAGTCTAAATAACATATACTGTATAATTATATGAGAGATTTTATTATTTTGCAAAAGTTTTAATTTCGTAGACTTCGTTGTTATCGCATACGCAAAACATCGATGCAAATATATTATATATCCAAATCTTATTCCAATTGTATGAAAAACTGTACAAGTATTTAAAAAAGATTTCATCAGCTTTCATCGAAATTAACCCAGTATTTGTCCCACGGATTTAAAAAAACTTTTATATATATATATATATATAGTTACAATATTTCGATCCGATATACAAAATTTTTGAACTTTCATAATTTAATTCCCTTGGTGATAATTTATTTGTAAACATTTTTATACTTTTCAATTCTTGACGAAAATTGTATACAATTTAATTCCGGTAGGGTAGAAATAATTGAAATTAATTTAATTCTGTTCAATGCCACCAACCTGTGGAACCAATTTAAATCACATTACAGCGTAAATATTGGTGACACTTTAATTTTTTTTAATAGAAATTGAATTAAAGTGCATTAAAATGATTGTAAACATAACCGAAATTCAAAACGTTTTCTATCCTAATGAATGTCATTTTTGAAATTTTATGAACTCATTTTAATCAACCTCTTCTTGCCGGGGAGTTTTGCCAATCATTTAAAAATTCAATTTAAGTACCGATTTCATTAATAGTAATCAAGAAATCAAGTCAAACTATTTCTTACGATCTGAAGAATAAAATGGCTCTAATGTTGGCAACAATGTCTTACGTGAAGGATAAGGGGAGGGATTAAGTTGTCTTAAAAAAGCCTTACGTAATTTTACAGAAAAAACCTAGGCTCATTTTTATTATAGCTCAAAATGTACCAATGCTAAACGACATAGAATCTAGTTACTCAATTTGAACCTAGGGTTTTTCAGTCTTCTGTACGACCCCTTACGACAAATATAGAGAACAAAAAATAATCGATTTTTTAATTATATATTGGTTATTTCCACCACAATTTTTTATTGAGGTTTTGCATTTGTTTTAACTATAAAATTAATTTTAAACTAAATTCGCAAACTAAAATTTCTCCAAATGTTTCTCGAAAACACCTTGGAAATTACAGCTGGAATTTACAAAAGGGTTCTTTCGGAACAATATTTCACGTACAGTTCTATAAAAGTCAAACTTTTACAAAATAATAATCAACATAATAAATTATATTATATAATTGTTTAATATTTTATTTTTAAATTTTATTATATGATTAAGGTTAACGGTCAAAGAAGCCTCCATAATTTTGCGCGAAGCAACCAAAAAAACTTCAAAAATAACAAAACGTAAGTATAATAAAATTACTAAGTTCATAAAGAAAAAATTATTTTTAAACTGATGAAAACGGAAAAAACTTGCATAAATTAAAATAATTAAAATTCCTGTAATTTGTTTAGCTTCAAAATTAACGCAACTGCAAAAATGTAATACAACATCAATTCCTTCAGAAAACTTATCTGAAAAAATTATAAACATATCGGAAGAATCTTCCAATTTAGAAATTGTCATTATAAAGAAAACTGATGGAACAGAAGGATATGTCGGTAATACCAAAAATAAAAATTAGATTAAAAACTTTATTCATTATCTTATTATTTATGGGTCATTCCACTTGAAAGTTACCTACGACATTTTAAATTAGGTAAATATATTTTTTTCGTTCTTTGTAGAGAAAAAAGTATACGTATTTTTTTATAAGAACTAAAAGTACCCAAATTTTTGAGTTTGAATTTTTAAAAATCTAGGTATATGTATAAAAAATAGGTATACCTTTTTTTTCTACAAAGAACAAAAATAATATACCTACTGAATTTGAAATATTATAGGTTTTCATGTGGAATCACCTTTATATAAATGCAAAAAATAATAAAGAAGAATTTTACAAGATACACTTATAAACTTTTTTTTACAGATCTTATTGACGAGTACACTTTTCCGCTTGATCGGGAGTTAGAAGGTAAAACAATAATATTTATTTATTTATTTACAACTCCAAATCCTGAATATAATATTGTTCCGCATTTAATACATTATTTATTTAAAACGGTTTCAGGTAAATACATTTTGAACCTAACTGAAAGGTTTTTTTGATTGCTGACCAATTTCGGTGCTGAAAAGAGCAAAAGTTCTTTTTTCCCAACTGATATGACCCATTCCTACGATGATTATTAAAGAACGTCTATAAATCCTAAGATCTAAGTTACCCTTAAAGTACTAGAGCACTCTTCTATCTGCAATCCAGTGTCATTTTAAATGACAGTTGCAAAACTATTCAACTACAACTTATCAAGTACACGATATGTAGCGTCTAATCCCGCTAGTAAATTAAATAAGCGATCCAATTGACTCCCGACATGAATATTTATCTCATATCATCCTCATGTTGATTTTTGGATTTAAATAGTTCCTCTGCGTGTAGTCAGCTACTTTAGAATTCTCCTTTTTAAATATCTTGAGAGTCTACATAATATTATGTCCTTTTTGTGTTATTAAGATCTTATTTCTTTCCATATTGTATGTGTCGCAAGCTTTGACAAATTTCTTCAAAATGTTTAACCTCTAACTTCTTTTTCAAGTTATTCTTTACATTAAAAGTTCATTTTACACTCATACACTTTATAAAAGTATAAGTAAAATAAACTCCATTGTACGGAGATATTAAAAAAATTACGTTATATTAATACTAACAGTGCCAGGAAAAAGCACAATAAGTAAAAAAATTAATGAAATACATATATAATATAATGTGACAGTAATACATTGACATAAATTGAATTTCTGATTTTAGAAGCCTTTAACCTTGATGAAAGAGAAAAAAAAATCGACCAGGAAAGAGGTATTTAAAAATTAAATGTTATATGATAAAATTAAAACCCCTATAATAAAATAATAAATAATAATAAATACATTTAATATCTAAGTAATGTTTACAATAGGTACATGTCATTGAATATAAACAAATAATAAAACAAATAATAAATACATTCAATATCTAAGTAATGTTTACAATAGGTACATGTCATTGAATATAAACAAATAATACTCAAAATATATATTTATATTAAACCGTCCGACACGATTTTTCACACATGAAAAAATCAATGATTTTCAGAAACTAGGACCAAAAAAATGATACCCGTGTCTTGCCGTTTTGCTAGATCAGGTCATTTTTTGCTTTTAGGGGTAAAAACAACCCTTAAATGAAAGGTGATAGGAAATCTTGTACAAATTAATAATTTTTTATGAAACCTGGTATTTCGGGGTTTTCCGAGTCGCTGATTACGAATCTGATGTCAGATTTTCAAAATTCAAAATGGCGGATCCAATATGGCGGTCGAAATTTATAAAAATTTACCAATTCATTTGAAAGTTGTTACTTAGGGGTTTTTGGGGTCGCTGATTACGAATATGATGTCAGATTTTCAAAATTCAAAATGGCGGATCCAATATTGCGGTCGAAATTTATAAAAATTTACCAATTCATTTGAAAGTTGTTACTTAGGGGTTTTTGGGGTCGCTGATTACGAATATGATGTCATATTTTCAAAATTCAAAATAGATCTAATAATGTGGAAGATTAGAAAACAATATATGAAAAATAAAAATTTCCACATATGTGTTTTTTGTATATTGGACACTTTTTTAATGACAAAACAGGCTTTGTAGTAAGTAAGAATATTTTTATTAGATAACAGTAATAAGCTCAAGTGAGATGAATTTAAAGATGTGAACTAATTTTTTAAAACTGTTGTGCAAAGTAAGAAAGTCAACAATTGTCATTTGTTTTATGTACTATTTTCTGTAACTATGCAACTGAAAACGAACATATAAACAACTGTCTAATATTTCACATTATTAGATCTATTTTGAATTTTAAAAATCTGACTTCAGATTCGTACTCAGCGACCCCAAAAACCCCTAGATACGAAGTTTTATAAAAAATAATTAATATTTATAAATTTCGACCGCCATGTTGGATCCGCCATTTTGAATTTTCAAAATCTGACATCATATTCGTTATCAGCGACCCCAAAAACCTTCAAGTAACAAGTTTCAAGTAAATTCGATGAACTTTTATAAATTTCGACCGCCATATAGAATCCGCCATTTTGAATTTTGAAAATCTGACATCATATTCGTAATCAGCGACCCCAAAAACCCCTAAGTAACAACTTTCAAATGAATTGGTAAATTTTTATAAATTTCGACCGCCATATTGGATCCGCCATTTTGAATTTTGAAAATCTGACATCAGATTCGTAATCAGCGACTCGGAAAACCCCGAAATACCAGGTTTCATAAAAAATTATTAATTTGTACAAGATTTCCTATCACCTTTCATTTAAGGGTTGTTTTTACCCCTAAAAGCAAAAAATGACCTGATCTAGTAAAACGGCAAGACACCGGTATCATTTTTTTGGTCTTAGTTTCTGAAAATCATTGATTTTTTCATGTGTGAAAAAAAAAGTTGAATTTTGTCGGACGGTGTTATATATTTATTATTTCTTGTCAACAATGTTTATTGAGATTTAAATAAGGAATAATTTATTCTTTGTTTACAAATTCAATTAATGATTTCAATTACATTTCAGAAGAGCTAGACAAAAATTTGAAAAATGTATTAATGGCATAAATAACTAAAGAGAAAAAGTTCAAATATATTAAACTTTTTAAATTTATTAAATTACACACCTAGTATATCTATTAGGGTAAAATCCGGGCGATTCACGATTCGCCGCCAACTTATCCCCGTGTACCTGCTCAACGGCAAATTTTCGTCCCCGTATGTTCTTTAACCTAACCTAACATCCAGATAAATGCATTCAAGATTCAATTAAGCAGAATAAAAATACAAATGCTCTACATTTGGGCATCTATTCTACCCCAATGAGTTAATTGCCTTATAATCTCTCAAAGATCTTAGAGAAAATAGAACTATTCGTACTTTACTCTACATATAATATTTAAACTAGAACAAAAGCTTTAAAAATCAAACAAAAAATGAAATTAAAAAGATAAGGATAAAGAACTTGCGAATTAAGGTGAACATTTGTCTGAAATTATCTTCAATTGTACAAATATGCTTAAATTATGTTTAGTTATTTGCAATATCGTATAGTAAATAAAAAAATATTTTGAATCATTTTAAAGTATTTAAATACATGTTTAGGAAAATCTTGAGTTGTATACACCTTGATTTCCCTCAATATGTAGAGTTGTCTACATTATTACAAAAAAAAATGTACAAATTTAATTAATATTTAATTAATATTTTATTTATATTTCAGAAAAGCTAGATGAAAATTTAGATAACGATTTAACCTGGGTATCTAAAGAGAATGAGTTGCAATTAAACAGTCTTAACGAATTTTTGAAATTACCTGGTATGTCCATAACTTAAAATTCAAACTTAAATTTCTGTAAACCTCAATAAATGCTTGGAATATTAAGGTATTTCTCCGGCAAATCGATTTTCGCTAGAATTTTTTTAAACTCTGGGAAAATGTTCCTTTTTATGTACTTTATAAGTGGTAAAAAAACCTAGTACCCCTTGCCATGCTAAAAACTGAGAAATGTGGGTTCAAAGTTGCACCAGTTAACATAGGATTCCTAATCTGAACATGCAAAACTCACACATTTTATTGAATTATTTAAAAAGTTATCGATAGATTTTTTTAAAAACGAGTATATTGTAGAATGGAATTAATAGAATAATATAAAAAAAGTTTTAGTAGGGGTATCCATGCTAATTTTTTAATTACAACGTTTTGAAGTAGAAAAGTTAGGTTATTTATAGATTTTTCAAGGGAGCCGGAGATATACCTTAAGTAAAAGTAAAATTTACTCGATATATCAAGCAAAAAATTATTCAATATTTTATTTATATTTCAGAAGAATTAAAAGATAATTTAGAAAATGATCTAGTACAGTGGCTGTCTAAAAGTGAAGAATTTCAACCGAGTGAACTTCACAAGATTATCAAATCATCTGGTATGTCTTTTACGTAATAATTAAGCAAAAACAAATGTTTCAACAATATAGTAAAAAGAATACTTATATAATTGTAAACTTCTCGAACAGAATATTCTTATATTGAGTGAATGACAAATGGTTTATCAAAAGAAATTTTTTTCTTAATATATTTTTTAAGACATTTAACAATTATTAATTACATTAGTAATAATTATTGACCATCTAAAATTTTTCCTAGTTTAAACATTTACAATGATATTATTTCTTTAGAAAACACTTTAAATTTAATACCAAAAAATTTATAATTACATCAAATCCATTAATTTCAGAACCTCATAATTATTTTAAAAAAAACAACACATTTACCATAGTACATTGTGCAACGAGAGCGGAAAATGCTCCTTTCTGCTCTAGTTGCACACAATGCTTTGTGAAACATCTGCAAGAAAAAAGCTATTTTATATGCTGTTTTGAAGAATAAATTTAAGGTTACGTTGTCTAATATGCCTGAAAGTGTGCAGCAAAGTATACTTTGCTGCACACTTTATTACGATCCAGAAATCAACAACTTTGTGCTGCATTTAGGTTAAAGTAAAGTAGCGCTTTTCTTGCAGGTGTTGCACAAAATTAATTACTATTCAGAATTGATTAAAATAAAATTCAATGTAATAATAGGTGATTTATTTATAATTTTTTATAACAATGCTTCATCAATTTAAAAAATCTCTGTTTAATAAAAACAATCCTAAAAAAATCACTTATTCATTAATATTTTACTCCAATCTTTGTTTTTCAACTACTAGTTACAGGATGTCATTCTAAATTTGTTGTGTATCAATCAGTAAATAGTGTATATTGACAAATTTTTCACTTTAAATGTCAAATATAAAATTATAAAAATAAATCAAAATTTTATATTTTTTATTTTTTTTAAATATTTTTTTATATGTTAACAATTAAAATAAATCACTTGATAATTTTAGAAATATAATAAAATTACTATCCTGAAAATTATGGCGTTTTCTCGACCTAATAAATCGAGGCAGACAATGATATAAAAATATTCGTTAACACTGCAAAAATAGATATCTTCTTGGTATCTTAAAACAAGATGTTAAGATGGAAATGGTATCTTCCATTCGCTTCCATCTTAGAATAAGATGTTAATTTTAATATTAAGATGCTTTATTCCTATTATAACATCTTAAAATAAGACACTTTAAATAACTAAAAAGATACTACCAAAACGTCTTAAAAGTTACTGCCAAAACATCTTATATTAAGACACTTCTTTTTGCAGTGAAGTAAATATAAATCTATTCAATAATTTCATGTGTGTTACAGAAAAAGAAAATGATGGTAATGTTGAAGATGATAATGATGATGAAGATAAATTAAAATTTGAATTGAAAGAGTGTCAGGTGAAAAAGGAGGGACTGCCAACAACCGAGATTCCCAAAACAATCAAATCATTACCGAGTATGTCTTCAATTCTTTCCATAAAAAATTAAACACTTTTAATTTAAGTAAAGTCATATACTTAACCAGTACACAAAACGATAAGTTTATCTAGTCATATTACATACATACATAGAATTAGTTAAAACATATATTTAATAATTTATATGGCTATTCAAGTAAATTCTATTGGAATAAAAAATCCTCCTTAAATTCAGCCATAAAATCGATTGAAACACTAATTGCGGCAACCCCAAAAGATCCAAATCAAGCAGTTCCAGAAAAACCACAACAAAATAGAAGACATGAAGGAGATGAAAATAGTAAGATACATTTTGTGTCAAAATTAAAAATACAGATTAAGTATCTTTGAATCCCTTTGTCTGGAATCAAGAAATATTTTTTAATTTATTTATTTCATTTAGAATTTTAGATACATAAAATGAATCTTTGAAACATAAAAATTATGACCTAATTATAACAAATTTTTCCCCTATCCTATAAATTTTTTTAAAAATTTTCTTCTTATTTAAATATACAATATTACATTTGTAAAGTGCTAAAAAATAATATAGTTCTTTAAAAAACAATTTTTTAAAATTCCTACAAATAGTTAGCACTTACATTAAAAATTTTTTATGACTATTCAAATAAATTCGACTCGACTAAAAAAATCTCCTAAAATACAGAAATAATATTGATGAAAATATTATTTGTAGCAACTTCAAAAAATTCAAATAAAGTAGTTCAAGAAACCTCACCACAAGGGAGAAGACATAAGGAAGATGAAAATAGTAAGTTACAATTTGTGTTAAAATTAAAACTAAAGATTAAAAATATTTAATACCGGTGTCCTGAAACAAGAGTTATTTTCTAATATAAATTATTTCAGAATTTTTGATACGGATTTAGAATCTTAGAAACCCTTATCAAGATAAAAGAGATACATTTAAATTTAAATCTTTCTTATTTAATTTTAGGTACAGATAATAAATCTTATAAACGTAAAAATTAGGATTTACTTATACCAAATTTTCCCAAATTCCTTAAAAGTTTTTAAAATTTTCTTCTTTTTTAGGGTTCCATTCACGCATTAAACCGCGACGGAACCCACATGAAATCACTTATGACATTTTGGTCTCCCCCTGCCAAATCTAGCCATTTCAATCTAATCAGCTGAAAATTTGTACCCATATGTATTTTCAAGTGTAGAATTCACGAAAAATATAGCAGATCCGATTGGAATTTATTAAATTCTCGGTTTTTTGGAAAAACTAATTTTTTCAAAAAACGTGTTCCCCCCTCTGTCCTAACTTTTATAGTTTATAATCTAATGAGTTGAAAATTAGTATATATATTAATTTTCACGAGTAGAATAGAAATAAAATAAAATTAAAATATCCCAGATAGCACGCAAGTCTGCTGCAAACTTACAGCCGACTTCCATCGCAAGTTTAAGCTTGCAGCAAACTTGCAAAACTTGGAATGCAAGTCAGCTGCAAGTTTGCAGCAGACTTGCGTGCTATCTGGGATATTATATTACAATAAATCCCCTCTTTTACTGTTTTCAATTGCAGAGCAACTTTGTTTTACATGTGATTTCTTAAACTAAATTATACGAAAAACTTTTCGAATTAAAATAATAATAGAATTTAAATAAACGGCACCCTAGGTGAGCGAGTGGAATTCGCACTTAACCATTTTTTAAAGATATAATATGATATTTGTAAAATGTTTAAAAATAATCTAATTTTCTAAGATAATAATTCATTATAATTCCTACAATTAGTTATACAACATACATATAAAATTTTTTTAAATACCTATTTATGTAAATTCAACTTCACTAAAAAAGTCTTTTCAAATACAGAATTAATTTCGATTGAAAAACAAATTGTGACCCCTTTACAAAATCAAAATGATGCAGTTCCAGGAACTTCACGACAGAAAAGAATACATGAGGCAGATGAAAATAGTAAGTTACATTTTGTGTTCAAAAAAAAAATAGCATTTTGAAGTTTATTCAAAAGTGAAAGTTGGTGATATTATGGATTTAGAAATTATCGGATAAAAATATGTAATTCAATTTTCGAAAAACTAAAAAAACTTTATGTCATACAAGATTAGTTGCCTAATTGAGTTCTTTTAAAATTGGTCATATTAAATAATTCCAACACTAAAGTCGGTATTACCACAGACTAACAACCCATTTTTAAATAAAAAAATTGCAATAGTTAAACAACATGTAATATTTTATAGTACTTTTAAGTCTTTTAAGTATTTAAGATATATTAAAGTAGGTCAACTTTAAAAAAAACTTTATCAAACATATCTAAATGTAAAACATTAACAAAGAATAACGCAAACTGGACATACGTTATTATATCTTAAATACTGAAATAGATAATAATAAAAATATTTATCAAAATGTAACTGCCTTCTTGACAAAAGAATTAAATTCGTATTCAATAAAAAATATTAAGCCGGGAAAAAATATTAAATCATTGATCAAATCCTTTATAATAATAATCTAATAATAATCTATAATAATAAACTTGAATTTTTATTTACCCTCTTAAAAACGAACTTAAACTTAAAAAATATAATATAACTTATTAATTTCAATAAAAACCACATTGAACAAAATAAATTATTGTTTTAGAACCAGTGTTCAAAAAAAAAGGAAAGCCGACTGCAAGGTCAACGCAATACAAATTAAGAAAATATTATCCAGAATGGTACAAAGAAAATTTCCAACCATATCAAAGAGGCATAAACTACTGGAATCAGTATAAAAGATAAAAATAAGGTAGGAGTGGAAACATAAGAAAATCCAATAAAATAATTCATAAACACATTCAAGATATATATTATAAATTCAAACTAGAAATTACTTTAAAAATACAAATATAGATTAAAAATCTTTAAAATCTTTGTCGAATAATAAAATTTTTTTTAAATTTAATACTTAAAAAAAAATTTAGACAGAAAATCTTTCAAACCTTTGTCCGAATACCAGAGATATTAATTAACTTAAACTATTTTAGAATACTTGACACGGATTTAAAATCGTTAAAATCCGTGTCCGCAAACAAAAGATATTTTCTAATTGAATTTATTATAAAATTTTGGGTACAGATTTAAAATCGTTTAAACCCTTATCCGCAAACAAGAGATATTTTCTAATTCAATTTATTTTAGAATTTTCAGTACAGATTTAAAATCCTTAAAACCCTTGTCCGGAAACAAGAGATATTTTCTTATTAAATTTATTTTAGAATTTTCAGTACAGATTCAAAATTGTTGAATCGCTTGTACGCAAACAAGAGATATTTTCTAATAAATTTATTTTAGAATTTTCAGTACAGAATTAAAATCATTGAAACCCTTGTCCGGAAACAAGAGATATTTAATAATTAAAATTATTTTAGAATTTTGGTACAGATTTAAAATTATTGAAACCCTTGTCCGCAAACAAGAGATATTTTCTAATTAAATTTATTTTTTAAAATTGTTGAAACCCTTGTCCGCAAACAAGAGATATTTTCTTATTAAATTTATTTTAGAATTTTCAGTGCAGATTCAAAATCATTGAAACCCTTGTCCGGAAACAAGTGATATTTTCGATTTAAAGTTATTTTAAAATTTTTGGTACAGATTTAAAATCACTGAAACCCTTGTCCGCAAAAAAGAGATATTTTCTAATTAAAATTATTTTAGAATTTTGGTACAGATTTAAAATTATTGAAACCCTTGTCCGCAAACAAGAGATATTTTCTTATTAAATTTATTTTAGAATTTTCAGTACAGATTCAAAATCATTGAAACCCTTGTCGGGAAACAAGAGATATTTTCGATTTAAAGTTATTTTAAAATTTTTGGTACAGATTTAAAATCACTGAAACCATTGTCCGCAAACAAGAGATATTTTCTAATTAAAATTATTTCAGAATTTTGCTACAGATTTAAAATTGTTGAAACCCTTGTCCGCAAACAAGAGATATTTTCTAATTATATTTATTTTAGAATTTTGGTACATATTTAAAATTGTTGAAACCCTTGTCCGCAAACAAGAGATACTTTCTTATTAAATTTATTTTAGAATTTTCAGTATAGATTCAAAATCATTGAAACCATTGTCAGGAAACAAGAGATATTTTCGATTTAAAGTTATTTCAAAAATTTTCGCAACAGATTTAAAATCTTTGAAACCCTTGTCCGCAAACAAGAGATATTTTCTAATTAAAATTATTTTAGAATTTTGGTACAGATTTAAAATAGTTGAAACCCTTGTCCGCAAACAAGAGATATTTTCTAATTAAATTTGTTTTAGAATTTTCAGTACAGATTTAAAATCATTGAAACCCTTGTCCGGAAACAAGAAATATTTTCGATTTAAAGTTATTTTAAAAATTTTCGAAACAGATTTAAAATCACTGAAACCCTTGTCCGCAAACAAGAGATATTTTCTAATTAAAATTATTTCAGAATTTTGGTACAGATTTAAAATTGTTGAAACCCTTGTCCGCAAGCAAGAGATATTTTCTAATTAAATTAATTTTAGAATTTTTGTACAGACTTAAAATCATTGAAATCCTTATCCGCAAACAAGAGATATTTTCTAATTAAATTGGTTTTAGAATTTTCAGTATAGATTTATAATCATTAAAACTCTTTTCCGGAAACAAGCGATATTTTCGATTTAAAGTTATTTTAAAATTTTTGGTACTGATTTAAAATCACTGAAACCCTTGTCCGCAAACAAAAGATATTTTCTAATTAAATTTATTTTAAAATTTTGGTACAGATGTAAAATTGTTGAAACCCTTGTCCGCAAACAAGAGATATTTTCTAATTAAATTTGTTTTAGAATTTTTAGTACAGATTTATAATCAATGAAACCCTTGTCCGGAAACAAGAGATATTTTCTAATTAAAATTATTTTAGATTTTCGGTACACATGTAAAATTGTTGAAACCCTTGTCCGCAAACAAGAGAGATATTCTAATTAAATTTAGCTTAGAATTTTCAGTACAGATTTAAAATCCTTGAAACCCTTGTCCGGAAACAAGAGATATTTTCTAATTAAACTTACTTCAGAATTTTGGTGCAGATTTAAAATTATTGAAACCCTTGTCCGCAAACAAGAGAGATATTCTAATTAAATTTAGTTTAGAATTTTCAGTACAGATTTAAAATCCTTGAAACCCTTGTCCGGAAACAAGAGATATTTTCTAATTAAACTTATTTCAGAATTTTGGTGCAGATTTAAAATTATTGAAACCCTTGTCCGCAAACAAGAGATATTTTCTAATTAAATTTATTTTGGAATTTGGTACAGATTTAAAATTATTGAAACCCTTGTCCGGAAACAAGAGATATTTTCTAATAAAAATTTATTTTAGAATTTTGGTGCAGATTTAAAATTATTGAAACCCTTGTCCGCAAACAAGAGATATTTTCGATTTAAAGTTATTATTAAAATTTTCGGTACAAATTTAAAATCATTGAAACCCTTGTCCGTAAACTACTGATTTTTTCAATTAAATTTATTTCAGAATTTTTGGTACAGATTTAAAATCATTGAAATCCTTGTCCGCAAACAAGAGATATTTTCTAATTAAATTTATTTTGGAATTTGGTACAGATTTAAAATTATTGAAACCCTTGTCCGGAAACAAGAGATATTTTCTAATAAAAATTTATTTTAGAATTTTGGTGCAGATTTAAAATTATTGAAACCCTTGTCCGCAAACAAGAGATATTTTCTAATTAAATTAATTTTAGAATTTTTGTACAGATTTAAATTCATTGAAATTCTTGTCCGCAAACAAAAGATATTTTCTAATTAAATTTATTTTAAAATTTTGGTACAGATTGAAAATAGTTGAAACCCTTGTTCGCAAACAAGAGATATTTTCTTATCAAATTTATTTTAGAATTTTCAGTACAGAATCAAAATATTAAAACCCTTGTCCGCTAACAAGAGATATTTCCGATTTAAAGTTATTTTAAAATTTTCAGTAAAGATTTAAAATTGTTTAAACCCTTGTCCGCAAACAAGAGATATTTTCTAATTAAAATTATTTTAGAATTTTGGTGCAGATTTAAAATTGTTAAATCGCTTGTCCGCAAACAAGAGATATTTTCTAATAAATTTATTTTAGAATATTCAGTACAGAATTAAAATCATTGAAACCCTCGTCCGGAAACAAGAGATATTTTCTAATTAAATTTATTTTAGAATTTTGGAACAGATTTAAAATTATTGAAACCCTTGTCCGCAAACAAGAGATATTTCCTAATTATATTTATTTTAGAATTTTCAGTACAGATTTAAAATCATTGAAACCCGCGTCCGGAAACAAGAGATATTTTCAATTTAAAGTTATTTTAAAATTTTCAGTTCCGATTTGAAATCATTAAAACCCTTGTCCAAAAACAAGAGATATTTCGTACTTAAAGTTATTTTAAAATTTTTGGTACAGATTTAAAATTATTGAAAGTCTTGTCCGCAAACAAGGGATATTTTCTAATTATATTTATTTTAGAATTTTCAGTACAGATTTAAAATTGTTGAAACCCTTGTCCGCAAACAAGAGATATTTTCTAATTAAATTTATTTTAGAATTTTTGTACATATTTAAAATTGTTGAAACCCTTGTCCGCAAACAAGAGATATTTTCTTATCAAATTTATTTTAGAATTTTCAGTACAGAATCGAAATATTAAAACCCTTGTCCGCAAACAAAAGATATTTTCTAATTAAATTTATTTTAAAATTTTGGTACAGATTTAAAATAGTTGAAACCCTTGTCCGCAAACAAGAGATATTTTCTAATTAAATTTATTTTAGAATTTTCAGTACAGAATTAAAATCATTGAAACCCTTGTCCGGAAACAAGAGATATTTTCGATTTAAAGTTATTTTAAAAATTTTCGAAACAGATTTAAAATCACTGAAACCCTTGTCCGCAAACAAGAGATATTTTCGATTTAAAGTTATTTTAAAATTTTTGTTACAGATTTCAAATCACTGAAACCCTTGTCCGGAAACAAGAGATATTTTCTTATTAAATTTATTTTAGAATTTTGGTACATATTTAAAATTGTTGAAACCCTTGTCCGCAAACAAGAGATATTTTCTAATTAAATTTATTTTAGAACTTTCAGTACAGATTTCAAATCATTGAAACCCTTGTCCGCAAACAAGCGATATTTTCTAATTAAATTTGTTTTAGAATTTTCAGTACAGATTTAAAATCATTGTAACCCTTGTCCGGAAACAAGAGATATTTTCGATTTAAACTTATTTTAAAATTTTCAGTTCCGATTTGAAATCATTAAAACCCTTGTCCAAAAACAAGAGATATTTCGTACTTAAAGTTATTTTAAAATTTTTGGTACAGATTTAAAATCATTGAAACCCTTGTCCGCAAACAAGAGAGATATTCTAATTAAATTTAGTTTAGAATTTTCAGTACAGATTTAAAATCCTTGAAACCCTTGTCCGGAAACAAGAGATATTTTCTAATTAAACTTATTTCAGAATTTTGGTGCAGATTTAAAATTATTGAAACCTTTGTCCGCAATCAAGAGATATTTTCTAATTAAATTTATTTTAGAATTTTGGTACAGATTTAAAATTATTGAAACCCTTGTCCGCAAACAAGAGATATTTCCTAATTACATTTATTTTAGAATTTTCAGTACAGATTTAAAATTGTTGAAACCCTTGTCCGCAAACAAGAGATATTTTCTAATTAAATTTGTTTTAGAATTTTCAGTACAGATTTAAAATCCTTGAAACCCTTGTCCGCAAACAAGC